GAGAGAGAGAGAGAGAGAGAGAGAGAGAGAGAGAGAGATGAGTCCTTAGAATCAGGGGTTTACAGGTCAAATGGAACAATGATTGGTTTTGGTTTTGGTGATGGTGGTGGCGTGGAGTAGAACCAGGTCCTCCTGCACACTCGCCCAGCACCCTACCCCTGAGCTGCCGGAACAGGAGCAGCGCTGTCAGGGTCACCGGCTGTCACCAGGCTCTAGGCAGCCAGGCTAAGGAGAGTTTAACAGCCCTAAGCAGACGGTTGGGAAGCTGAGCCCCTGCGCATCCGAGAAGCCAAGTCAACTCACGGTATGGCTGAGGCTTCCCGCCCAGTCTAATGACAACCCGCAGCACACACGTGACAGCTAGGCACATCTACTTCCTTTTTTTGTTTCACTGTCAGCAAAGTCACAGGCTGAGCCTCTTACGACTCGTTTGTAAAAATAACATTTCCCCAAATTCTACCTTGCTGAAGGTGTTGTGATCTGGGGCCTTTACTGAATACTCACCACTGCCCTCGGCGGTCAGTGTCTGGCACTTCATCCTTCGGCACCAGATGAGTCTGGTGTTGATTTCATACCCATTTCCTGGATGAAGAAACTGAGGGGCTGAAAGGTAAAGTTGATAAGAGGCTAGGATTCAGAGCCCAGTTTTACTGCTATCCCATGAGATGAAATGACACTATCTGTTCAAACTGTAACTAGGGTAAAAGGCCGTGAGTGAGCCAGGCCTCAGTGGGCTGCTCTGGGCTGGGGATGTAGTGATGTGGGGCACATTGGGGATAGAAAAGGTTCTAAGTCACCACAACAGATTTGTCCACACGGTTCTCTTTATGTATCAAATTTAGAATATATGATCTGGAAGCCTCTTCAAGATGTCAGTCCTGGGGAAGGGGAAATGGATTTCCAGACTGATTTTATTTTCTCTGAGGTCACAGGTTACTAACACTATAAGAGAGGGCTATATACATGGCTTTTGGGGTCTTTGGTTTTGGTTTTGGTGCTAGGGATGGAACCTAGGGCCATGCCCGTGTTTGGCAAGCGTATTACCATTGAGCTTCACAGATCCCTGGCCCTGTGGGGTTTTTTCAGATTGGTCTTTAATTTTTCTTATGTGTTTAACTGTATGCACAGTGTCTGCAGAAGCCAAAAGAGCGCGTCGGATCCCCTGGAACTGGAGTTACAGGCAGTTATGAGCCACCACGTGGGTGCTGGGAACTGAACCCGGGTCCTCTGCAAGAGCAGCCAGTCCTCTTAGCCACTGAGCCAACTCTCCAGCCCCCTTTGGCCCTCTTTTAAAATACACAATTTTTCTTCTTTAAAATCTAATTTTTATTTTCAGTTTTTGTGTGTGTCGGAGTGCACTTGTGGTATAGATGCGTGTGGGGTGTGGTGCATGCGCTTCGGCGTGTTCCCAGAGACCAGAGGGGAAGGTTAGGCGGCCCATCCTACCACCCGCTCCATGTCTTATTTCCTCCAGACAGGGGCTTTCCCTGAATTTGGAGCTAGACTGGCAACCAACCAGCCTCAGCAATCCTCCTGCCTCAACCTCCCAAGTGCTAGGATTATAGGCAAGGGCTGTACCAGTTCTGGCTTTTATTCTCTTAATTGATTACTCTGTTATTGTTCTTAACAAAAGATACCTTGTTAGCGAAAAGCAAATATGCAAAGTGGATAGATACAGTCTCACACTGCTCTTAGCAACTCCTGTGTGGGAAAGGTGAGTATGGATTACCTGGCTAGCATTATTCCACTTTGGCATTATGATGATGATGATGATGATGATGATGATGATGATGATGATGATGATGTTGTTTTTGGACCTGGTCTTGCTATGTAGCCCAAGCTGGCCTGGAACGTGAAATCCTCTCGCCTCCCCTCCTCAGTGCTGGGGATATTAGGGATGTATCACCGTACCCACCTAACACTTCTAACATTCCCTTGACTGGAGACCACTTTAGAACAGGCATGGTTGAGGCTAAGCATGGTGGCCCGTCTGTGATCCCAGCATTTGGGGGGTTAAGCCAGGAGGAGCTGGAGTTTCATCACAGCCTGGATTCCATTGTCAAAGCCAGCCTTGGAAACACAGTGAGACTGTTCAC